TAGGCAAAAAAACCCCCACACCTTTAACTGAGCTATCCTAATAACTAACAGACAGTTATCCATTACATTAGTTAAAACAGCAAGCGCTTCAGCAAAGTGCTCTCTGGCAAAGAACAAACTGGTTTCACGAGTGCATGCAATTCAATTATATTTAGCATGCAGAGACTGACAGTTCTGGTTGGTCTGAGTATCAGAAAGATACTCAGAGAAAACAGGCAGGATTAAGAACCTGAACACTCCATTTCCCTAACCTGAATCGTAAAGTAAGTCTCAAGGACAACATAAGGACACACCTCATCCGTGTTTCCTTGAACCCATTTCTTCATTGCTTGTGAAAACATGGACCCTAGTTGAGATAAACAGCAAGCAAGGTATATTAGCAAACTCAGCAGCACATCTCATTTCTCTTCTCTATAAACAGATACTTGCTTTTATCCTGAAGGGCTTGCACTGCTAGTGTTAGAGAACACAGAAGAGTGGCAGGAAAAATGAGGGATTATGGGGATTCACAGTTCACTAGGCACTGAGCCCAAACCATTCTTTCCCAGGAACCAGTCTTGAAAAGCAGCATTAACAACAGCAGATCCCGAAGTGGGTAGGAAGCATGTAGAGAACTGACATTTTTTTTCATCTTGAGATCAAATCCTTGAAGGTTTGACCATGAGCTCAGCTCCTAGCAGCTTTCATCCCTGCCAAGTTCCATCGACAGCTCCAACTCCCACAGGCTGTGCGTGCTCTCAGGAGTCCAGCTGGATGAGAGAAGCAGGATTTGGCTACGGACTGGGCCAGAGATGGGTTTTGCCTCCGTAAAGGATGATTCCCTAAGCACCTCTATTTGGCTTAAAACAGATCTAGAGAGTCAAGATTTTTGCTTATTTTGGCTGAAGCAAGGAAAAGGGCAATTCTGCAGATGTTAACAGAAACAGAGAGAAAAAGGAAAGCAAACCTTTTGATTTCTTGACATCAGGCTCTGGTTCAGACTCTCTGATGAACTGTCCCAGATCACTGACTCGTCCAAATGTCATCTTCCTGAAGAGAGAAGTGAAAAACAAAAACCAATACATACAGGTTATCAAGAGAACTTCAGCACTATGGAAAGTTATCAGTCAGCAAAACCAAAATCTCACTACAGTAAATATATATATATATATATAGTGTCAGAAAATTGGCATTTTACCAATTACCACCTCTTCCCCCTAAAACTGATACATTAGAAAAGGCGCCCTGCTCTTCATGTTTATCTGAATTCTAAGTATATCTTAAAAACATTCCTAGCACTTCAATTGCTCATTCACGTAATATCAAAAGCAGTGCTAACAAGTGCTCTACAGTATCACAGAAACATTTTATTAGGGAACAATCAATTTATAGTACTTGAAAGGACAGCAGACTGGTATGCAGTAGAAAAGCAAGGTAGCTAGGGAAACAAAGGATTTCTGTTTGAGACCCACAGAACAGAAGAACTTCACATCAAAGAGCAACTTAAGAAACAGAAGAGTAGCTGCGCAATCTGCTAATGAAATGAAGTACAAGCTCTTCTTTACAGGGGAATAGGGAGAAATCAATGCTGTATATTACAGTATCAAAGTCTTCCAAGCTTGTTCTTCCCTATTCCAAACCCAAACAGAAACTACTAGTTATGTTTTTGAGCCAGAGAGGAATAAAATATCTTGGAGAAAGCAATCAGAAACGTATTTCCGATTGTTTTTCCTCTGTTCCAGTCAGAGAAATATTCACCATGACAATGGCGTTAAATCGCACTATTGAAAGAAATTTGCTTTCAAGTATTAAGACACATACTAAGATTGCAACACCTTGCATTTATGTGAACTCTCGACACAGAAAGACACAACAAAAATGAAACAGAGGTGAAACATACTGGAAAGAATGAGATACACTAAACGAACCTTACCCTGCATATGTTCGTTGATATAAAGATTCTGGATCCAGACTTGCAGCATCTACAATTATTGCTTCATCAAAATTTTTCAGGATTTTAACATTAGCCTTTTTGACATTGGACTACAAACAAAAATTCTAAATATTAGTGCCCAATGCAGACAACTAGTAGCTTCTTAACAAAAATGCTATTTTAGTGCTTTTACAATTTGACAAATCTCTGTGAAGTCTCTATGCAAGCATAAAAGAATTAAGAGAACATCTACGCAAATCATGAATTCCTAACTCAGTAGGACATTGTTTTTAAACAGAGGATGGTAAAGTTACATGAACAGAGCCAAACACACAATGTACAGGTCAGCATACGTGTATGTAGAGACTGCTGTCTAAACATTATCAATTGAATAGATCTGCGCATGCATGCAAATTATTTGCTTCCGAGTGCGTAACACTGAGCTATCTCAAAAGCAGCAGCAACTGCACCCATCCCTGTCGTGTACTTGGTAAGCAGCACCCATGAAACATACTGTGCTCCCCCACACAGAGAGAACATGCATTTACCTTTTGGCCTACAGTATTTGTATAAGATTATGGAGAAAAAAAAAAAAACAAACAACCACACACACACCCAAGGAACATCTGAGCAACAGCAGGGAGAGCACAAAAGCATAGCAATCTATTAGCACCTTAACTTGGAATAGAAATACTAACGGTAGCTGCCTTGTAAAGTCCTCTCCTGTTGGTCTGCACTAAGTGCTGTTCTTTACGCAAAAATATACAAAGACCCGGAGACCTTTCTATGCAGATAAGTACGAATGCCCACCACAAAAACGCAGCGCTTCATTCCTAAACGCTCCAAGCAAGCCAAATCCTAGTGGTTTTCCTGGTCAGGCTATCAGACATCAGAATTTTTCCAGGACAGTCAGACCACAGATTTTATTCCCCACTTCACAACTTCATTAGAAGGTATAAAAAAAATTAAAAGCAGGTAGTACAGCTTCTATGTTTCTTGAAACACTGAAAGTCAATATTGTTGATCCAGCTACTGTATTTAAACTCATGGTAGCGCTGCAGCCTTCAATAAAAGCAATTCAGCAGAAGCAGTTTTTGGCTTAGCTTTTCTGCTCTCAGCTGGGTGTGACAGACTGAACCAGCTACAGATAATCTAGGATCTGCTTATCTTCTCCCTCTTACACACTGGAATTAAATGAAACTAGAATTTTTGGAACAGACAACTCAGTTAGAAATGTATCTCTGTCACTACACGGACAGTTGCATGTTGTAGAGTGCTCCACCGCCCATTTCTGAGGCTAGGCCCACACGTGAACATAGCTCTCAAAGCGGCATCGTGAAGGGGATTAAAAAGAAAGTTGGTGGCCTATGAGCAGAGACCCACACAAAGCATATATGCAGTGGCCACCTCTCAATGACACTGGAAAGGCAGCAAAGGCAAACGGGCCCAGTTACGCGCTTGTTTCTACACAGCACAGTGAAGAAGCAGCCACATAGCTCTAATCATGCTTAATGAACGATTAGAAAGCTCTCTGCTTTACCCAGCAATGGACATTTAAGTCTTTATTCCCAGCTTTACATCCAACTACGTGTATGCAAACAAAATTCAGATATTGCCCCCTGGAATACTACATCTCAGCTCTCTTTTGAAGAGGTCAGGAGTGGCCATTTTCTATCAGACTGGCATGACTAAGCTTGAGGACCACAGTATGCAAAAGCCTGCTGAGGCAAACTTGTGAACACCAGCGGGTCAGATATTATCTGTCATTGCTCAGTGCATGAGCAGAGGACTTCTACCCTGAAGATTTCACCCAGTTCTAGGGCTTAAGATCTGTCACTTCAATGGAATTGAGCACACTACTCGCATATTTATATTTAAGTTCTACAGCATATTCACAATGTCAATTTTTGCCTAAAGGTATAACTTTTGCCTAGAGATATATTATTCAAGGGGCGGGGGGGAAGTAAGTTTATTTCTAATGGAAAGCATTCTTAAGTGTTACAATACTACAAAGCGGTCTTCAGCTAATATTAATAGCTTAATTCCTTGAACCAAAGTTCTATTTTTAATAGAAGTGATAAAAGGCTTTGGGTACAGAAAATACAATAAATAACTTCTATGCCAAATACTATTTACTTGAAATAGTATTAAATGTGTCCTTAAAGTGAAACGGGAAGCTTAAAGTTACAAGATGTTTTCTTAAAGGGTACAAAGTTTGATTTCAACACAGAAAAGTGACTGCAGTATTTATTAGAACAGAATCAAAACAAGAAACTCCTACCTGGGAAGTAGAGCCATCAGGGCCTCCTATCTGGGAATCGCTATCAGGAGAGCTACTGGGGCCTTGAATACTCAGTGCAATATTCCCTCCTGGAAATTCATCTCCTCGTACTGAATGGATGAGATCATTCAAGTATTTGTAATAAAGGTTACTGGACAAGAAACCAGGTAAAAAAACCTGAGAGACAGAAGAACGAGGCCTCTTTAATCAACAGAGCCAGTTCGCATGATTATTACAGACCATTTATAGAACAAAAAGGTCAACTGGACATCTCAGTCCTGTGGAGGTGGCACACAAGTGTGCATAAACGGAATTATTCTGGATTAGCTATTGCACTGCTATAAATTTGAATCCTACTTCAGAAAGGAGCGGCAAAACCAGCCATACATTAGCTAAACCCTGCCTGAATGGGAGCCAAAGCTCAGATTATTTTCCACTAGAAAGGCTTGACATCCCAATACTTTTGCAGTTATTTCGCTGCGCTGTCCAAGAACTAGCGGCAGCTCCAGAAGTACCTCAGGGTTACGCTACAGCCACAGCACTAGTACGTGACTTGCAGATAACTGCTACTGGCTAGCTATGGTGTAGCGTCAGACAGAGGAGCGATGAGGAAGGAAAATTTTCAAAAGATACAATAAGTTGTTGATGGCAGTCGATCTGGGAGGGAGTTCTGTTACTTCCATTACAACGTAACAGTCAGCCAAGACAAGCATTTCACAGAGAATTAACAGAAGACATGTGAGTTGCACCTTTTCAAATTAGGCTGGAGAAAATTTAACTAATATTGTTATATTATCCAGGTAAAAAGGAAGTCAATAAAATAACGGGACAAATCAGAGATGTTGAGCGGAATACTTGATACACAGAAGAATCTTCCCATCATCTTCACTAACTACCCAAACCAGTTTGAAGAAGGTATCTCACCGTCTCCATGGTGGTCCAGGCCTGCCGTAAGGGAGTAGTGAAACAGTTAGGGAGGGGACCACCTTCCCTGCAGATGTTGGATTCAATCTCTAGCCTCACAGAGTCATCAAACCCAAGAGGATGCGTGGCTTGAAGGGAGAAGTATCTGCAGCACAGGACAGGGGAAGAAAGCAACACAAAAGGATTTCCAAAATTTTGCAGGTGATCAGTAACTACCTTTTTCCACTGAGAGCTGTTAATCATGCTTAATCATGGTTAATCACCACTAGATGGTGCTGCTTCAAAAACTCGTACAACTGATACTAAGTGCCCAGAAAGCAAAAACCAATTCACAGAGATGTTTTTAATAAAGCCTTGCTCTGAAGATGCAGGTAAAAGAAACAGTGCATCAGGTGACTACCGATGAGCAGAATCACACATACACGTGTGCATGAGTACAGACGCACACTTTGTAATAGGACAAGGAAGCAGGAAACACCCAGAACTGAAGCAGCATTTGCTCTTTTAATCACATCATTAAAAACAAGAGTTTGTGGATGAAGTGGAGGGATGGCTGATGAGGTGAAAATGAAAGGGAACCATTCATTTCCTCTCCAATTACTATTTCCTATTAGGGCAATAATTTGACAAACTCTCACTTAAGCTTAAGAACAACCTTTTTCCTGGAAGCAGTTTTGATGTCTGTCCTTCAGTTGCATAATAGATAAGTTGAAGCATGAAAAGGAAAGAAGTTACTCTCAGTAGTGTAAGAAGACAGTCCGACATTAAAGAGGACCTGTTTGCTTCCTTAAAGAAAGGAGGGGAGGGGGGGGGGAAAAAAAAAAAAAAAACCACGAACTCCCCCACAAAAAACCCTCAAAACCACTTTTGAAGTATTAAGAACCAGCACCATCTGGCTTGCTTTCTTCTTCCTGGTAGGACTCCTATTACGTGTGGTAAAAGCTCTCGAAGCCTCTTTTAAATGGATAACAGCATCTGAACCGTAAGCTTTTTCTACGGCTATGCAGCTGCTACTAGCATTAAAGCTTTTCCAAATGACTGTCGATTGGCTTTGATATCTTATGAGAAAGACACTAGTTCTCAGGCAACTGAGTCCCAGAAATTCTGAATTTTGTCTAAGAACACAAAATCCTTATAAAGATTTTCTCTTCATGCATAAATAAAAATAAAAAAAGTTCTTGTCTGCATGCACTGGAGGCTGCTGTAATAGACGAGCATTTCAACATACAACAACAGCACAAGAATGCAAGGCATAGTTTGAAAGTGAGAAGTGCCTTTTGCACAACGCAGCAGAAAGATACAAAGATAAAAATCATAGCTTCAGAAGTAAGTAATTCTTGAACTCACTCACTTGTCATATAAGATCATAGCATCGTTCTGTGCCTCTTGCCCATCATATTGGCCTTCTTTGGCAGCAAGTTGAGACTGGAAGTTATCTGCTGCCAACCAGAACTGCAATACGTTAACTGCGTCTTCCTTTTCCATGTACTAGAATGGAAATTAGAAAAAAAAAAAAGAAAAATTAAAGTAGAAGTTTTAGCAAGAAACTAAAGCAAGCACAGACAAACCCGCTCCTTCCCATTCGGGATAAGAAATGTAGTCCATATATCAATGATAGAAAATTGTCACTAGGGAATAAAAACATTCTGATGTAGTGTTACAGACAGACTTAGTCTGCTCGTTTTGTTAAACAAACTAGCAAAATCTCTTTTCCTTAGTGATCTTCACATTTGGTTTCCAAACGTTTTAGCTACTTGTACCATAGTAAAGACGGAAAGCCCATTTTCATGCTATGCCTAACTTACGCTGAACACAGCATATTGTCTATTCTTCACAGCTTGCTGTTTCAAACGATACTGGCTTGTCAGACTATCGGCACGAGTATTCTATTACTAATAGATGATTCCCTAAAGGTATAGGATGCTGCAGCTGTGAACTTATACATTTAATCTATCACATTCTGATCTGATCTCCTCTCTAAGCAAAGCTAGAGAATTATTCTTTATCTGTAAGAGGGTCACAAAGAACAGTACTTGGCTTAAGGCTTTCAAAGTCACAGCTTTATTTGGCAAGATTAAGAGGTCTATGCCAGAGCTTCTAAAAGCAAAGAAACACGAGTGGCCACTAAACTGGAGAAGATGTACATTAGTACTCATTCTACAGTACAGTGTAAAAGTTCAAACATTTGGAATAGTTTCACACAGACAGGAAGCTGTTAATGCTTTTTCTCTCAGAACAACATACACCTCTTTTTCCATTATATTGAGGCACCTTTATTAAAACCTTCAGGGCATAGAGGTTTTCCCATTTGAAAGGAAGGAAAAAAAACCCTCAAAACAAAAAAAACCCCACCCCTAACACTTACCTCGGAGAAATAAAACAGGGCCGATTCACAGAAAAGTATGTCAGCCAGATAAACAGTCCCGCTAGTCAGCACCTCAATCTGATATTTACAGAAATGATGACTTCGCAAAAATTCACTAAAGTGCCTGCACACAGACAGAATAATAGGTAGTTATCAAGGATCAACAGTGTCAAGGCACTTGATGAATCAACTAATTCTTGCCTCAGAAGTCTTACAATTTTAGTCAGACAAAAGCAAAACAAGCAAGAAACAATATAGGGTATACGAATATCATGAAAACGATACAAAACATTGTAATAGCGCACAAAACGTCAGCAAGTGATCATAAGAATGGATTTGAAGGAAGATGCTTGAAGACAATATAGGAGACTGCATAGAAAAGTTACTTTACAGTTGTGCCTTCACAGGCACACTTTTATGGAACTGATTCACAGATGGACAGTATACACGTGACACCAAACCATTCAATCAACTTACTCTTGTTCCATTGCACTAAACACTATTGACTGCGCTGTAACAAAACAGTTAGGGTCCACTTGTCCATCTTCCCCACAAATCTTTGCTGTAAAGAGAGAGCAGGTTAATTTTAACGTGCATTTGGTTTAATGAGATGAAGCACATAAGCGATGACTAGTTAAGGAAAAACTGCAGTTCAAATCCGCTAGAATCAGCTGGCTCTGATTGCGCAAAGAGCTTGTAAAGAGACACTAGCACTGTTTTCTATAGCATTACAGCTAGCTAGATGGTGATATTATGACTAAAATACTGGATTGTGACTGAGACCTGGATTCACCCAATAGCCCCCTGGAATTCTTTCACTAATTTAAAAAAAGTCTATGAAAGTTCCTCAGGGAATATTGCTCAGAATTACTGAAAGTGCAGATCCATTGACAGCGTATAAACACATTCCAAATAGCAAAATAAGCATGAGGAAGCGTTCTGCAATCTATATAGACGTGTGTGTGTGTGTGTGTATATATATATATATATATATATATATTTTACTATCTTTTTACCGCTGACTTTAAAATTCATAAAAACAAAGAAATACCTTTATGTGTGCATGTGTATGGGTGTATTAAAGATGTACTCATGGGGAAGGAGGAGCTCTAAAGTAGGAGACAGTATATGTTCTTACCAACTATATCATTTCGCATTGCCTCCGTAATTGGTATTGGTTTAGCAGCATCTGGAGAAATATATTTGGTAAAAGTACTAACCGCATCCCGTTCTATACCTACAAAGAGGAAATACAGAATCAGACTTTAAATTCACTGGCATAGGTCTACAAAGAGGAGTGAATAACAAACATCTGTTCTCCAGAAAAGCAAGCATCTGATTAACAGTGACAGTTTATTTCCCATGAAGGTTTCAGTGCACTATTTGATGCTTTGCTACTGGCAAACTACCGTGACCGCGTTATCTATGGCCAGGTCACAACAAGTCCACAATGAATTGCCTAGCAAGAGGCAATAAAGCAATCTAACTCTTAATTCCCTGCCACCAAACAGACAGCACCTCTTCCTCAGCTGTGCACCTTAGTCCCAATAGTCATGTCTCTGCAGCAAGAGCTGTGATGAAGTTCCCAATTTCTAGTCCTAACCAGAGCAGAATAGAAAGCACTTGCATTACAAAGGAATTTTAAAAGTCTTGAAACGGGATGTCTCAGAACAAGATATAGTGTATCTTTTACATGTCACCTTTCAAGAGAGAGTTGGGACACCGCTTAGGTACACAGGAAAAAAAAAATTGTAATTATACTCCAAACTTCACATTTCTCAGTAAGGATTCAGTTCCTTGAAATTCAGTATTTTCATACATTAGAACCCAGAGGTGCTATTCATGACTAAAGCATCATTGCGTTTGTCTAAGATACTTTGTGGCTGAGGTTACATACTGTGGAACTATATAATAACCAACTACACAGAAGAGACAAATAGCAAGAGAAAGGGATGTAAAATAAGGAAACAGTTGGGCAAACAAGAGGAACCAATATGAAGAAAGGAGTATTTCCTTTTTGTCTGTAAGCTTTCACAAACAAGGGAGGACTGAGTATGTTCAAAGTAAAGAAAACAGGTTACTGTGCATGTAGCTTACTATCAGAAGTAAATATTTTAATTTCATCCTTACTTCCAGCAGCCTCTGAAGAGGTGGACTCCAAATGAGAACAAATCAGTTACAAGGGGAGGAACTCTATCAAATAAATCCAAGAACAAAAAGAGTACGTACCATACAAAATCTCTGCAAATCTTTTTGCAACCATTACTTATGCCATTTCACATGATACAGGATATTTATCTTCCACGGAAAGTTAATTACCACTTCTCAGCCCCACTATCATCCAAATGTTCTGCAATTCTTTTAATTTGGGGCAGAAGGAGGAGAAGAGAGACAAACAGGACATTGCAATGCTCATCTTCGTTTCTTAAGATTACACATGTAGGAACAGAAGTAAGCTAAGCTTATCAGAATACGTAACGGTTCTGAAGTTTCTTCAGTGGCACATTTATTTTTGAAACAATCAGACAGTCAAACAATATACACATCTTAAATTGATCATTAGCTTATTCAGAATGCCAACACTATTCATTTTCAAAATTATTTTCTTCCACCTGACATCACGATACTTACGAAGAACACAAGAAAAATGAGGCAGCTTACCATACCACACCAAGCAAGCAGCAAACAGTATATCCTCCCCACACACCACTTTTGGAAAAGGACAACACGTGACACTTACTTTTCATTAGTTTTCCTGACAAGTCCTTTAGTGCAGAGGAGGGGCTGTTTCTATTTGATACTGTAAGCTTGGAAGATTCTTGCTGATCAGCTGGAACAGAATGGGTCCCTGTCTCAGATTTTCTCAGGCAAAGAACACTGGCATTATCACTCTCCTGACCTGACAGCACGTGGTTCTGGCTGTTGCTAGTTCTGTCGCTCTCGTCTGGAGCCACCGACTTGGTCCTGAGCAGATGGACTGTGCGAGAATCCTCCAGTCTCTCTTCAAGCAATCCAAGTGGAGAAGACGACGTGATTTCCTGCTGTTTTGAGGGTGACACTGGCTCTGCCAATGAACTCTGCTTAACTGTGTTCAGGCTATGTGCTCTTATGCGGGACCACGTTGTGGAGTGAAAGCTTTCGGCCTCTAACCAAAATTTAACCAAGTGTTCCATTCTACGTAGTTCCATAAACTGGATAAAATAAGGGAGGGCTACATTGTCCTGCAAAACTTGCTCAAGGGTCTTTGAAAGGCTTGATTTGGTCTCTTGGGCCTGATAATTCAGACACGATCTGCCTAAAGAAAAATACCAAGGGAATGACTCTGTATTACACTACAGGCATTGGTATTTGATACAAAAACGTCCTGGAACGCAACTGGTGAAGAGACGATTCTAAGGACTGAAACACGTACTTGAAATAAAATGCATTTCCTAGCAATAAACAAGCAGACAATGAATACACGTACCATTGAACATTTGATATCTGAACAATACTCTGAACAGCATACTATTAAAATAAAAAAGTCTGGTCAACATACTAATAATTTGAGTCCAACAGCATCTTAAAGCAAGCTCACAATCACTTTCTGCCTCGTTATGTTGTGGAAGGTAGAAACAAAAGGTAGCCGTATTAAGATGTTGTTCCGCATTCTGTGCTCTATATCCAATACTTTCACAAATCCATGATAGCCAAATTAAATGCCAACCGAACTCTCCCTGAAAAGAGACTGCACAGGCAGATGTACAATGAAGATAAGCCATTAGAATATGTGCTCAGTCTCTGAGACATACCGAACAGTCTAGCCAGCTTTTCCTTGCACGCTATGCCATCATTCATTAGTGTAATCAATATCTAACAGTCAGTGGATGATACACTTAGCAGTGCCACAAGGGCTCTCCTACATGAGGCTTGTTTAATACTCTCAGATATAGGGGAAAAAACTAATCAGAAGAATCCCTCTGTTTTCATTAAGATTTATTATTTCACTTCCAGAAATGTCCAGCTTGCAACTTAGTAGTAAACATTCTACTGAATTTCTCATAGGTCTAAATGGTTTGTATGTGTCTTAACATTTGCAGTTCAGCTGCAAGGTCCTTGCTGATTTCTATGAAGAATTTTTGTACTACTTAGCTTTGTCTTCTTAAAATTAAAAAGCAATAACAATAAACCAACACCCCCACGAACCAAGAAGCGTGTATAATAAGTGCCTTGTAGCCTTTAGTAATAAACTCATTGTCCTACTGTTTGCAACAGTCCCTGTTGCTTCAATAATCTCCCAAGATCCATATGCTAGCGACTGGAAGCTCCAAGTTTCAACGTCCCATATCTAAATTCTTCAACTATGTCCAGTAGCTAAGCTCATGGCTATTAGAAATTTAGTTCAATACAGTCTGGGTTTGATTAAGGCAATGGAATACCAATCCCAGTTAGAGCGGCCTTAAAAATCAGATACAAATATATTGCCTTCATCCTATGAGGACATAGCAATAAGTTCTGAGGAACAACGCCCTTAACTTTCTTTTAATAAGCCTTCTCTGCACATCACGTTTACAAGATTGAGATCAGAAGGCTACTTACATTTTTATGCACTAAACTTAAAACATAACTTTATGAGCACTTTGCGTAGGAACATGCAAGAGAAGAATAATATTGTCCACACTGGATTAAATTACAGAGTCTGAGAACACTGTTTAATAGGGTCAACCATGACACTTTAAAGGACAGTGGGAGAATTTTTATAACATAACGGTGGTACATAAAGGAACCTCTTTTATCAAACAGGAAACAAGTACACTATCTATTCAAAACCCTTCTAGGGTAATACTAGACACTATTGTAACAGCCATGTTGAATTTTGTAATTACCTAATCTACTTGCTTCACAGCCAAGGGATGGTGAGCATACCTAAACACAGGTAGAATAAAAAGGAACATTAAGGGTATTATAGAACAGATGAAGCCTTACCTAAGTCTCCAAAATGAGCAGCTTCCATGTGACTTGGCTGCTTCTTAAGGGCAGCTGTCCGACTGCTAGAAAAAGAGTCCATGTTGGCAGAGATGGCATTAATTGCCACATGGCTTGGTCCTGCAGCCTCCAGCAAGGCATGATTTCTAGTGCTTCTTTGAGGGGAATGTACTGGTATTGGAGCTGGAATCAAGACGACAGTGATTAAAAAGAACCTAAGACCTCTTCTCTGCAGTATCCAATGCTAAGCATCCCAAGACAGACTGGAGAGTTTGCATGCATGAATCTTATTAAAAACCTCATTGCACCACTGCGTCATCTGTGATCGAGGGTTGGGTAAGAGTAAAGATAATAAACATGATTTATTATAGCAAGAATAAGCTCACAGAGATCAGATTAGCTACCTATTGAGTAGCTAACTAAAAGACTCCACGCTTAAGTTTACACACAAAATATTATTTCCAAGTCTTCCTGGTTCCTTGATTACCACTATCATAGCGGTCTAATACCTTGTCAGCAACACAGTTTAATTGCAACGGTCATGGCAAATCTATTTCCTTACCTTTTTCAAGTTCTACGCGTTCAGAAAACCCTGAACTATGAAGCTATCTCTGAGCTTTAACAAGAACGTTTTTCCAAAACAGTTTGTCTCTATTTAGTTTTAGAGAAAAAAGCAATATGCAAGCATCTCTGATGAAACTCAGACGACTGTAAGCCATCATCTCCTCTAGCCATTTTAAGAGCATGGCTGGCTACTTGAACCCAAAGACAACAAAGAATGACTTCCTCACGTAAAACCGTCTGTGAAAAAAGCATCAAAAAATTTTTAATTCATGATAAAGTTAAAAAAAAAAAAATCACACATAACATACTGATACCACTTTCAAAGACTCTCAGGAAATTACATTTGATTAGGATGTCATCCAAGGACATCTTACACCCCGACTCTTAAAAATAAAGCAAGTCAGATGACATGCTACCTCAGTACACTATTTCATAATGATGCCTTTGTCAAGGCATCAAGAAAGTTTGTTTTGATGACCTTCATGCTGCATAACTTCATTTCTTCCCCAATTTTATGGCACATGATGACAGAAGCTAACAATTTCACACTTACATATGATGGTACCAGACACCTTAAAAGCAATGGTATAAGAGAGCTAAAACGTTTAAAGATATTCCAAAGCATTTCTCCAGTTGAAGTATTTGGTACCAAGATAATAATTGTCACACCTTACAAAGCCTCTGGTATTTAATATCAGCAGTACTGGAAAAAACACCATTTTTTTCCAAGCCAATGGAAGGCAGCCAGTTGCTTGGCTGACAACAGTAACTGAAGATAACTTGCTGGAAGCTACTTCTGTAGAACAAGAGCCACACTCCTCATAGTTGTTCAAGGCTTTTGAGAATTGGACTTCATTTTGTATTATAAACATTTCAGTAAAAAGTATTGCATTTAATTAAGGATCAAACACCTGTTCTAAAGCCTCTAGATAACACTATTTCGCTAACCTAACATCACACACATCACAGAGTAGATGTCTGACAAACCAGAGAGATGCTCCCTATTTACTCAAGGTCAGCAGCTCATGACTTTTTATAAACTAAATTTGAAAATTTGTTTTTATTTCCACAGAAACCATATTGTAGCCTTTCCCTGCCTGTTTTAGCTAGTTACTGGTAATCACAGTGTATGCCATAAAATGGGTAAGATAGACTGTTTCCTGTATTTGACTTCAGTGAAAGAAGCCTTTAATTTTCTGTTGCTATCCAGATAGCACATCAAAAAGTACAGAAGATATAAAAGCAACAGATACATATACTTCATCTCCTTGTAGCAATGCAATACAAATTGACAGGATAAATTAACTTGTTTTCCCATAGTTTGTTGGCTTATTTCCCATCAAGATTTTTTTCTCTCCCAACAGAGCAGCAAAGTTGCTGTACCACATGGAGCAGTACTAGAACAGCTATACATTCTGAACATGATTCAGATCTTCAGGCTCACAAGGGACATCAGTCAAAGTTAAACCAGACACTGGCATCCTATTGTGCAAATGAGGCATAGTAAAGCTGCATTTTCAAAACTGTAAAATATATGACATAATAGCATAGGATCTCAGAAGCAGTTTGCTTAGATAAGGAGTAACCCACTGCTTGCAAGGTGACTGAATTTTACTATCTCTTTGAATTAAAGATCATGTCTACAGTTTAATAATCTGTCCTCACAGATTCAGTAAGATGACTAGGAAAGATTAGTTACTACAAATACTTGGAAACAGAATTAAGTTTTGAGTCTGCTTTGTTTGAGGCAGAAGTCATGTTTGTGTTCAGTCATAAGGAAATTATTCCTTCGGTTAAGATAAAGACAGTAGATGTTATCAGAGATAAAAATTTATAAAGAAAGTAAATATTGATCTTACTTTTAATTGCTTTCACATCTGTGTGTTTTTCTTGTTCTTTGCCTTTCACTGTAAAGTATAAAGCAAAACGTTAAGGTTACTTTGGGTGACTAATGGCCTTTACACACAAACGGACATACAATTGGAAGATACAAACCACGATTTTGTTAAAAGTAATATTTCGGATCTGGCATCAAGTAATCGGCAGAGAATTTCAAAGCTCCCGTGTTTCTTTGCATTTCAAAAGCAAAACTCTGTCATTCATACTCATGTATTAAGTCTAATGAAACACAGTATGTTGAGTTTTCTAAAACATTCTGAAAGATGCTTGCTGTCTATACAGTTAAACCAAGGCTACTCATGAACAAGGCTACTCTCTCACTCATGAACGAATACCGCAGGAGCGTTTTGGAAATCACTACAAATAGTTAATTCCTTCACAAACAATATTACCTAAATATCATCAAGCACATGGCAAACAACTGATGGGAAGACAGCAGTTAAAAGAAAAGTTTTTATCAAAAGTGTGTTTTTTTTTTTTAAAGGAAGCTTTTAAACAAAAAGAATGACTCAATGTATTTTAAAACTAAAATAAAGAAACTGAAGGAGTACATAAACATGATGGCATGGCAAGCAATAAATAAATCAATGATATTTAAGCATGCAATCTACTAGTGAAACCGTCTATGGCTGCTACAGGCTGGGATTTTACTACAAATAGGTCACCTTTGAAAACAGATTTTAGAGTCCTTCCAAATTGAACCACAAATCATAATCAAGTAGAATCAAGCATTTACATTACCAAATGTGAACAGATTTAAAAAAAATCTTCCTATTACGACCTAAGTATTTCAAATATTTTAAGGGGAAACTTCAATCTCTTGTTACATAATTGCCCTGCACAACCGTAGCTGCAGTATTATCATGCTGCCAACCTCTTCTATGAGAAGTATAAATGTTGCGGATCTGTAAATTGGCAACTCAGCATTTAAAATTTATGCTTCCGGTTAGCACATTCACATTGTGATAGAAAGGTTTAAGCCTCAGTTTAACTAACTGAATTCTTTTTACATCGGGCTGTAAAAGTTAATTTTAATTGTGAAGAAAAAAATGCATTCAGGATAACGACTTTTTACAGAACTGAATGCTGCTATGCAGGAGAAAAATATCCAAAAAAATCTGTACATATCTGAAATAATACTGAGGTTAGAATGGAAGTGATGCAACCTGTATAGAGTATTACAAGCTCTTTTTAGAAAAAGATTCCAATAGTGGATTGATCAAACCAATTCCCAACTAGCGGTAATAATTTCTGAGTTTCCACAGAAGAGTCCTCCATAAGCCTACTTTTAGTTGAAATATATCTGTCACTTCTTACCAGCTACTCAATTCTTCTCCACTTAATTACCAACTTATTACTAGCAGTATAAACTCCTGGTTCACACTGCCAACCTCTTTGATACGTAAGCTTGTTGTATCACTATTAGCCTCAAGCAGGACAGAATTAAAAAGTAACAGCTGAAGACAGAGGAAAACTGGCACATGTGACAAGAGTGCATTTTAGAAAGCAAAGTTTCACTACAGGAATTTAATTTCACTTTCCTCACAAAACCAGATATCATTTTGCGTGCATGCGTGTGTGTGAGAAGTTGGCTATGGTACATGATTATCAGGGATTAAACGTTTGCCAAAGTTTCCAATAGCAAATTCCATTTGCAAAGGAGTAGCACGCTAAACCTACTCAAGCTGACCACACAGGACTGGAGAACTGTAACGGACATTTTGAAATACAGAATGAACAAGTCTATGCTGCCCATGCATGTACTTACACAAAAAGCAATAGGCAACTTCACAGGTCAACCAACTAGTAGGGCTGTATGCCTTATTTCCAAAATAAGCCTAGTAAATGAGTGTGCAACCTGAATGTTTTCACTGATCTCAATTTCATAATCGGCCCTCGAGCCCCCCAGCTGCTAGTCCAATTGTTATTATTTAATTTCTCAACCTATTATCCACCCTGAATTTTCCTAGACCTTTATTTTAAAGTCCTTTCTGATCAACTATTTCACTATTATTTTTATGATTTCTCTATGTGTCAGTACTTTTATTCTTCTTTGTCAGATCTCATTTAAAAAAAAAAAAAGAAAAAAAAAGAAGGTAATTTTTACCTAGTGCTGTATCCTCTTAAACAATGGTAATTCAACTGAAAGACTCTGATGCTTTTTTGTATGGTTTTGGACTGCATGTATCTAGTCAACAGAGTTTTATCATAAGCCTTTATATGTTGCTTTTCTCCTAGTTGCAATTTAAGCTCCTCTCTAAAAAAAACTCTCTAATGGAAACGCATGAAACAATGTTATTTTAGGTACAACCCAGATGAAGACCTACTTATCTCTTCTCCTTAAGAGTGCCTCTCTAGTGCATGTAGTTCTGACTGTGCTTCTCTGACCAAAGATCTTTTAATCAAAGTAACATAAATAGATACTGGATTAGACATTTCGCTACTTTCTCATTGAGAAATTTTCTGCCAAGGTTACATTGCTCCTGTGATTAAGCATCAGGATGGAATACCAGCTCCACAATTCTCTTTGTCAGCAAAGCACTGGAAGCTGTTTTTGAAGAGTTTATAAGCAGCACAGAACTTTTATTCTACAGCTCAACAGTAGTATGTAAACACCCTATAAAGGGGTTCTTGCAAAACTTTCAGTGGATTTCAAAGAGTCTTCAGAACTTCTCCTAATAAGAACAGAAGTTTAAGCTCTTTTTTTTCCAGGACTACTGCACTAACCTCCAAAAAGAATGAGCTTTTTAATGCTGCTACTTTGACTGAGAAAGCTTATAACAGAACATGTCAATTGACAGCAAAAACACAGGCTCAGATAATGTATTCTTTCCTCCTAACTTAGTCTTATCTCCCAAGAAGTGCACTTTGGGTTTCAGTAATTAAGAAACCCTTTAGAAGAATGCTGGATCAGCCACTGCTGAAAGAACAATGGTTTACTACTTGAACTACAGCATTACAAGTTAATAGAAATACTTTCCTAAAAGGGGCAACTTCCAGCAAGAAACACTTGAACCATTTATCGTGCAGACCAGAGGCACACTAAACTACATTTCTATCACAAGCTGTAGCACCAGTGCCTTCAGAATATTTTATTCTCAAAGGAGAGTTAACTACACCCTTTTATGCCACAGGAGTATTTTGGAATTTAGGACTCTTTAAATATTTATAACTTAACTTGTCATACATAACGTTTACAAATATATTACCGAGTAAATTCATGAAAACCTTTGTCAATGATTCCTTCTGCTTTTATGAAGAACTCAGCATAATGAGGTCCCACTTTTGAGTAGGATTTCTAGCTACTGCTATAATGTATAAAGCCAATTATATTTTTACCAGAAAAAAAGCATTCGTACCAGCATTTAAAAAAAAAAAAAGCATTAGTTCGGTAATAAATGAACCAAAAGGCTCAAAAACTGCATGGAGTAACTGGTATTTTACACCAGCCTCCCCAACCTGCACACCAGTCACCCGCTTCAGCACTGACAAGCTGCTCCTCTCCCCTG